TATATATACAGTATGTCACAGTTTACTTCCACGTCTCTGTCGCTACAACCTCCTGCATACAACAGCTTGTTCACCTGCCCAAAACACAAAGAAGTTCACTTATGTCCACTGCTTGTCCTTTAAACATGGGGAAGTGTGTTTTAAATTCGACTTTATCAGTGACTTTTGCACTCGGTTGGAAGTGGTCCACAGCAGTCGATATGGTCTCATAGATATGACCATTTCATTAAAATAATTTAGTGTTTTTGTATTAAAATTAAATATTCTTGATAAAATGTTTCTATGTTAAAATTTCTGGGACTATTTGAATGTTTTTGTTAATGTGTTGGTTTGGTCTTAAATGTCATTCCTAATGGTCTTAAAATGTTTTTAAAAGGACTTAAATTTAACTCACTGAAACCTGCGTGAACCCCGTTTTCAAGCCAACATTCTTGCTCCCTGCATAAACCTGATGAATTAATAATTAACCATAATTACCTCTGTACCATGACTGGGGCCCATGAAATATGGATGTAGCCCTCCCCCAAAAAGATCTGAAAAAACAGTCCCCAGGTTCGGCCATGAGGACGACCAGAGACATGACGAGGAAGACATGACAAGCTTCATCCTGCAAGTTGAAAAACACCGCCTCAAGTCTTTTTCACTTATTCTCGTGGCTTTGCACAAAGTCACAGATACTGTTCCATATATTTACCTGTCAGCAGGTCGACACACACGATTGTGGCAGAAATGGTCCAATTGGTTAAGCTCTGAAGCTGGCGTGGTGCACGTTCATTAAATACTTGATGTCTGTGGGTTGGCCTGAAGTCAGTTTATCACCAGCAGCATCTCATTTATTAGTTTACTATTGGCGCGTGGAAAAGTTTCAGTCTTTTGGTTTGTCAAACTGGGAGTGACGGCTCATCACCAAATTCCACTTCCATCTTTCAGGAGGAACAACATTTTGTAAACAACCACAAGTATAAGTTGTACAAAATATTTATATTACATGATCAAAGTATTGTTTAAGGCATAGTTAATGAGCATAACTGTAATTTGTAACTAAAGCTCTGTTATTGTGACTTTGTTTTCATATCAGTCATGTCTTGACTGAGTGTGATGAAAGGATTGATTTTCACTTCCTTTCTTTACTGATAGTTAAAATGTATAATCCTTAAAATGTTGAAATTCTATCCAGCACAAAATTAGGCAAGCTGGGCAGTTTAAAAAGTGTTTGCATAAATCGTTATCTCCATCACACATCTGAATGTTCGCAGCGTGTGGATATGCTTTGAACCCACTTAAAAATTATAAGTTCATATTATTTTTTTCTTTTTTTGTTGGTTTTACTACTTTTTCTTACTTCATGTGAGATTGGCATATTTGCAAACAGTGAAGTCTGCTTTTGCTGAGAGTTGCACAGGAAGCTGTTGGTTTGTGTTTACAGCTCCAGGCAGCAGCTGCTTTGCTAAGCATTGCACAAATACTTAAAACAGGGTCAAACAGCCTGTTCAGCTCAATAAACTGCTAAAGCACAGGAAGTCTACCTGTCAGCAGCTGTAAAGCTTGATTATTTACGCTCCCTTATACGTTTTAAACCTTAAYACGTCACCAAATAAGTACCTGCTGTGTGAAGATATGGTAATATTTTGACGTTCTTACCAGAGTTCACAATGGTCTGCCCCAGATTTGTTTGAGGTTTGACTCACCAGGCTGGCACAGTGGGCACAGAAATGTGTGTGGATATAATATACACATCTTATGAATAAACCGAGATAAACATTTTTAATAACACTTATCAGTATTGTTTTCTTTTTACTTGAAAAGATGGGAAAATGTGTCATTTTTCTTTCATATTCATTTTCTTTTTTTTTACAGCTGACATTCTTAAATGTCAGGCCTAAAAACAGGCGAAAAGCAAGTTTAAATAACATCGTTAATGATGGCTAAATATCATGTTGCTTCTTCATTTTCAGGGCTCCTGTAATCATGTTTCCATCCAGTTGTAGAGTGAATTTCTATACAACTTTTCAAAATTCGCAACAAATTAAATAAATAAAAATTCGTATCTAGACTGTTTCCATCTAGTTTCCCTCTCAACTGTTTAAAACGAATAAACGAGGCTACGCAATGTGTGATTACGTCAGACGAGGCTATG